GCGAAATTATTATCCCGGCAAAGCAACCTAACAGCGATGTGTAGGAGCATATCTGGAAGCATTCCCCTTCATATTCAGATGAGACTCCAGTTGTAGAATTCTGCTGTTCTCGCAGTCGCAGTCGCATTCGCGATGACAGTCGCAGTGGCAACGGCAGTCGCAGTCACAGCCTCAGTCTCAGCCTGCCTCAGCCTCAGCCTCAGCCTGCCTCAGCCTCAGCCTGCCTCAGCCTCAGCCTCAGCCTGCTTCAGCCTCAGCCTCAGTCTGCCTTCAGCCTCGGCCTCAGCCTCAGCCTGCCTCAGCCTCAGCCTGCATCAGCCTCAGCCTCAGCCTCAGCCTGCCTCAGCATCAGCCTGCCTCAGCCTCAGCCTCAGCCTGCCTCAGCCTCAGCCTCAGTCTGCTTCAGCCTCAGCCTCAGTCTGCCTTCAGCCTCGGCCTCAGCCTCAGCCTGCCTCAGCCTCAGCCTGCCTCGGCCGCAGCATCAGCCTACCTCAGCATTCAAAATGTGGCCCAGGAATAAAATTCTGGGAGCTAGAAAAACACGAGGTGGTCAACAGTTGGCTCCGGGCATTCAAAATCATGTTCAGGAATGAAGTTCTGGGAACTTGAAGAACACGAAGTGGCCTACAGTTGGCTCCGGGCATTCAAAATGTGGCCCGGGAATGGAGCTCTGGGAACTCGAAGACCACGAAGTGGCCTACAGTTGGCTCCGGGCATCCAAAATGTGGCCCGGGAATGCTGTTCTGGGAACTCGAAGACCACGAAGTGGCCTACAGTTGGCTCCGGGCATCCACACTTGAACGCCGGGAATGGAGTTCTGGGAAATCGAAGAGCACGAAGTGGCCTACAGTTGGCTCCGGGCATCCAAAATGTACGCCGGGAATGGAGTTCTAGCAGCGCCAAGAGCGATTTTGCTAGGATGTCCCAAGCGATTTGGGCTTCGACGGCAGCCGCGCCGGGTCCCGCCCCGGGTCCCGCCCCGACCCCCCTGAGGAGTCCTGGTGCTCTCTTTTGACCCCACTAGAAACCTATCAGTCTTCGCTGTTAGATAAAAACGGCGCCTTCGCCTGGCCACGAGGCGGGAAGGGGGGCCCGTCAGCGCGTGACAACTTTCAATATATTCTCGCATCGCTGCACTTCGGCAACATATTTGGCTGTTCTAACAGGCGCGACGTTGCCCCCTGGCCTCCTCCGTAAGTTGGCCGCAGACAGAATGGCGGCATGGCGCGCGCGGGCGCCGACGTAGCCGCTCTCGAGGTCAGCTCATTCCTGCAGGTAGGCATTGCCAGGAAGCCCGGTGCGCTCTCGGCCCCCCTAGGCGCTGCCCAGGCCGCCCAAACAGAAGTCGGAACTCATCGTGGAGACAGGTGCCTCGGACGAGGCCGTCGCCGACATGCCCCGCCAAGCTGCCCCCGCAGGCCACGGGGGAACTCGCGCAGTGCATCCAGGAAGAGGGCCCCTCCAGGAGACAATGGCAGAGATATGTCCCAAACCGCTACGAAGCCAGGCCAACAACGAGACGATTTGGCGGGCAACTTTGCCATGCCCCGAGTTACGCCGCAGGCTCAGCAACAGCTACTCGAGTTGGGGCTGGATCCTCGCATGCCCGTGCACGCGAACCGATATGCTGGAATGTCTGCCGTCTCTGCTGCGCCGCAACTTGCAAAGAGCACTCGATGGACGAGGCCCTTTTCACGACGCCAAATCCATCATGCTAGCCAGACCAGGTCTTGCCCAGGGTTGCTTCCAACGCCACCAACATTGCGTTCGATGCCCTGGATTCGAAGGGCTTCAGGATCCGCGCAGAGCGAGGCAAGTCTGCGGCCGAACTTCGATTTCGAAGCACAGGGACATGGCCATGGAGGGTCCTCTGGGCCGCTTGGGAAGGCATGGTCTCGTTCGTGACCAGACGTTATGGGGAGGTCGAAACTGCTGCTTCTTCGTCAATGCCAGCGCCGCGGCGCGAGATTGGACGAAGCGGCCTCTATAGGGGTCAGAACTGGCACATCTCAACCAAGACGCTGTTCCTGGTCGGCGTAAACGTTGGGCGGGGGAAGGTCAATGATTAGATCCGCTCGTGCAGTCCAATTGTAAACATCGGGCGGGCACCTTGCCGCCTCTGAGCCCAGCGCAGGAAGTGCAATTCAGCGACGACCTTGCCAGCATGCCCCGCGCTGTCATTCACAAGGCTGCAGATGCTTTGGAGGGTCCACAACCACGGCGCAAGTGCTAGCGACACTCCAAAGAGCCAACCTCGATACAATATCGAATCATCCTCGGCTACGTCTTTTGGGTCAGTGTTTGCACCGCGTGGGCCAATACACTTGCTCGAATGTGCTGGGCGTTGTCCAGTTGGGAAAACTCAACTCGGGGTGCAGCAACTCTTCGCAGACCGTGACTCGCAAGGAAAGAACGACCCAAATATGTCAAACATTCCCCCCCCACCCTGCGAGGACCACGCGGCGCGGGAAGCCATGGACATGTGCAGCGCCCAAAAGCACGACCTTAAGACCGCCCTCGCGAACAGCGCTGCTTACGCTGCTAGGTGCACACTTGCCAAGGGCTGTCGAACGCGATCGTTCTCAAATCTTTTGCGACGCAGGAGCTCCTAGATCGGAGCGGCCCGATGAACCCGCTCAGGTGCAGGGTGATCTTCAAGCGCGAGGAATACGGATGTTGTTGGTGTACAACTCTGATGTATTCCTTGAGTGGGTTCCAGCAGTGGGCGTCCGCATTCGTTGGTTTGTCATCCAGGGAAATTGAAAGCAAGTGGGAATCGCCAAAACATGCGTTCACCGTCTCGCGGCCCCTGCTGCTTGCAAGCCTCTGGTCAAACACGTCGCCTTTTATGCTTCTGAACATTGTTTAGCAAGTCGGGCCACACTTGATTGCTGTCGGGACAATTCTAATCTCCACGAGCAGTTCAATATACAGGCTGGCGCCGAAACAGGTCGCCGAAAGAAGGCAGGCTCAGGACGATTCACGGGACCCGATGCGCCTGCGTCGCGCGTTCCCGAGCAGTCGAGGACAAGGAGCCTTCAGGAATAAAACAAACAGGCTCCAGCCGCGTCCGCGCGCACGATGACGATGAGCGACGGGCGACGAGCGACGACTGCCGACGACGACGACGACGATGACGACGACGACGACGACGACTGCGGACCAGACTCCTATGCGGATTCCCGTGCGGATCCCGATGCGCACGGCGGCAGTGCCTGGAGCGCAGTGGGGAAGGAGAGCGTTGCGTCATGGGGGGGGCTGGGGGCCATGACGCCCGTCACGTCCCAAGGAACACGCTCGTAAAGGCATCCTTGCTGACGAATGCTTTCCAAAGGCACCCGCGCTAAGAACCCCTCACTAAAGGGAACCCCCGTCAAGGTCCCTTGATTCAGTCAGCCTTGCAGTTTCATGCTAAGGAACCCCAAGTAAAATGAATGGTTCCTACGGGCTTTACAAGCATCCGTATTGAGGAGTTCTATCAATGGCCCCAGCGGAAGCGTTCGCATGGCGTCCTAGCGGGGCTCCATTGGCTGGGCTTCGCGTGACAGTGAAAACGGAAAAGGGAGAGAGTGAGAGAGAGAAACAGAAAGAGCGAGAGAGAGTGAGAGAGAGAGAGAGAAAGTGTGAAAGAAAGAGAGGGAGAGAGAGAGAGAGAGAAAACAAAAAAAACGAGAAAGAGAGAGGGGGAGAGAGAGAGAGAGAGAGAGAAAACGTCAACATATCCTCCTGTCCCCCCCCTCTGTGCTGTGGGATGTATGATAGAGCAACAAATTAGGCCTCCAACCCATGTCCTCCTGCCGGAAAACTCCTTACTTGAGAACTTCGAATCCCTGCTAAAGGAATTGGTCGTAAGGTCTCCTTCCTGCAGAGACCCTTACTGAGGGATTCCTCTGTGAGGCGGGTGCAAAGTGAGAGAAAGAGAAAGAGAGCGAGAGAAAAACAAGAGAAAGAGAGAGAGAGAGAGAGAGAGAGCGAGCGAGCGAGAGAGATATATACATAAATGAAGAAAGAAAGACAGAGAGCGAGAGAGAGAGACCCCCCGCCCCCGAGCATGGCCCTCGAAAGTCTAATTCCCAGTCACGATTCTGGAAAAAGGGAAAGAAGAAGGATGAGGAAAACGATGAGGAGGAATATGAGGCGTGAGACCGATCAAGTCTCGTGTGGCAGAACGCAAACTCCACAATGCCTGCGCATTTGAAAACACCCGAACACCTCTAACCGCAAATTCCCCCACCCACCTAAGCCCACACCCCGCCTGAACCCACGGTCTGGAATGTTGCTTTACGTGTCGCGGCGGCGGCCCAAACGACACGCTATGCCCTGCAAGCGGACAGCGTGCCGCTCCGCTCGGCGGGGCGGGACGCTGGGAAAGGCTGCAGACGCTGACGCCTGGGAACTGGGACGTGGTTGGCGTGTCGCGCAAAAGCGCGGTGGGCCAGAACCGGCGGCGCGACGCGCTATCCACGCCCCCATTCCCAAGCGTCAGCGCCCCGAGCTGTTCCCAGCCTGCCGCCCCCCGCCGCCGCGACACGCTAAACAAAAGTTCCCGACCTTTTCCCCCTCCCTCCCTTCTCCCCTCGGCTACACGCAAGAGTAGCACTAAGCTGGAATGGCCTCCCGTGCGCGGTTTTAGGGGGGGGCGCGCGGGAGTCAAACCCGAGCGCGCAAGCCGCTGCCATCGCATAGCGCTCAACAGACTGGGTGACCCGAGCGCTCCCGCACCTAAGGTCGCTCTGGCGAAGGATCCCTCTCTCCTCCCCTCCTCCCCCCCCGCACCTCCCCTCCCCTCATCCCCTCCTCCCTTCCTCCCCTTCCCCTCCCCTCCCCTCCCCTACTCCCATTCCCCCTTCCTTCACTCCTCCCCTCCCGAACCCCCCTTCCCATCTCCCCTCCCTCCTCCCCCCCCCGCCCCGTCCCCTCCTCCCCTCCCTCCCTCCCTCCTGCCCTCCCCCCGCTCGGAGCGCCCGCCCCCGCCGGCCCAGCGGGGGGCGCGGCGGGGCCTCGGCGGCGAGCTCTCCGCGCGCGGCGGTGGCCGCCTCGCCGGCGGGAGGCGGCGCGCTCCACTTTTGCGCTCGGCGTTCTGCGGACTGCGCGCGCGCCCCGGGGGCTTTCGCGTCAGGCGAAAACGCAGCGAGGGACGGAGAGGGGGAGGAGGCGTTCTGAGGAGGCGGCTGGGATTCTCGGAATGGTTCGCACATTCAGGGAAAAATGTCCTTGTGCCCTGGGAAACCATCGACAATGTCTCAGAAGGCCGAGGGACTTCCGGGCCTTCTGAACAGGCCCGCCCCTTCTCATTTGCCCCTCGGGCGCGCCGCCAAACGAAGGCAAAATCGAAACAACATCGGACCGAAATAAAGCGGACATCTGAAATAATCGGCGGGCTTGGGGAATGTATCTTGCGCCGCGGCCGTTTCAGCGCGCTCTGGAACCTTCAGGAACGGATGCATCGCGATTCTAGGCCCGTCCGATCGCGGCTGTCGGGCGCAAGCTAGAATTAATTTGTGGTCAAAAGATATGGCGCGTATGCACCGGATCCACGGACCAGGCAGGCCACCCCCGAAACAATTGGCCAATGCCGCTTGGTTTGGCGACGGAGCGAGCCGAGGCTGCACAGAAGCGAGACCGATCGCTAATCTACGCGCCTCGTCCTCGGAGCTGGCGCGCCCCCACTACGCAACGTCCTGCCTCTGCTCCTCCTCTTCGACACAGTCGGAAGCGTGCGTGCACGCTGGAAGACAGATTGAAGAACCTCCAAGACAACTGAAAAGCATAGGCGCCAATCTGCTTTTACGTACTTCGCCGTCTGTTTCGAGTTGTTCCTCCTCCCCTCCCCTCTCTCCTCCTCCCCGTCCTCTTCCTTCTCCTCCTCCTCATCATCATCATCATTATCCTCCTCCTCCTCCTCCTCCTCCTCCTCCTCTTCCTCCTCCACCTACTTCCCCCCTCCTCCTCGCCCCCCCATAGCCCCCCCTCCCCCTCACCTCTATTCGCCTCGCCTAATGTGTCCGCTCTTCTCCTCTCCCACTCATGCTCTGTTCCCCCAATTGTTCCCGTCCTCCTCCCCCTCCTTCCCCCCCCCATCACCTCATGGCTGGTTTCACCAGTTGTGTACCACGCTCGAAAGAGGCTCCATGCGCTGTGCTGAAGCTGCGCCTTAGACACAATGCAATTCGAAACGAAACCAAAGCTCAGGTTCCAAGCGAGGGCCGGTGAGAAGGCGGACGTAGATCTGAGGAAGAAGGCTACAAAGTGATGCAATTACTGCTTCCCCTGGACGCAGCCCTGATGGCGGTAAGCTCAGCCCGGCAGCTTTGGATGACATTCATGATGTCCTCGTACACTTTCTCCTTCTTTTGAGCACGCTCGAACGCTTACTGGCGTGTGAGTTGCTTCGGGATCGACTGCTCAACCAGCGCGGCGTTCGACGTGTCCTTAGTCAGTACGCCGTGCATGCCAAGCGTGAGAGGTACGGCTGCCACAGTGCAAGACGCAACAAGAGACTTGACCTGGTCCTGGAGGGCGGAGACCTGCGCCGTCAGTGTCTCGACTGAGGGGCTGGCAACCGCATTGACTATCACATCTGCTGGTGGAGGTGCGTCGGGTGGCCCAAAAGAGAAGGTCATCACAATATTCATGAGTGGGATGTCGGCAAACCGGGTATGCAAAGTTGAGCTTCTGGACTTTGTTGATCACCTTGCGGGAAAGCTTCCCCTTAGAGTGAGTCATGGCCTCGTTGATGGTGGGCATGTGCTGACCAGTCTGCAATGCGACGCGCTGGAGAAGCCCACTCGCAAAGTCGCCAAGAATCGAGAAAGCACCGCCGTGTGAGATAGTAGCCTCCTCATGCTTTACACCGTTGGACACCTTCTTCTTCCATTCACGGGCACGCCACTGCGGAGAGCGAGCCATCGTCGGGGACATGGTGAACAAGGTGCGGCCGTGCGGGCTTCGAGCCTTGAGCCACAAAATACGGCCGGTCCTCCTCCCCCTCCTTCTCCCCAGTTTCCTGCTCTTCATCCTCCCTTTCCCCAGTACATATTATCTGCTGTGCTTCTCCCTTATCTGCCTCTCCTCCTCCTCCTCCTATCCTCCTCCTCCTGTCCCTGCCTTCTCCCCCCGGAGCACGGACTTTAAAACAGCTGCTTGTCTGTAAAGGATACAAGTGTAGATAACTCGCTCTTTCTCTCTCTCTCTCTCTCTATATATATATACACATGCGTATAATTCTACACACACGGCATGCAACCACGCCTATACGCGTACAGTGTATACTTTTATGTATGTGTATAACATACTCATACGCGCGCAGGCTAGGGAGGCCTAGCGATGGAGTCCCTGCCCACGAGATCGGTGGCTCATCGTTGCCGCCCACCCTCGCCCCTCATCCAAGGCCGCCGAGATCGGTAATTCATCATTGGTCCCCGTCGCTGCCCCCATAGTTCCAATCTCATGGTTGCCGTATCACTGTTGATCCAAACCGTTGGCTTCCATCGATGCCATCGTTGCCCCCCATGTTTGCCACCTCATCGTCACCTCCCATCGTGGCCCCTCATCAGTGCCCACTCATCGTTACCCCACATCGTTGCCCCCTCCTCGTTGCCCCCATCGTAACTGTGTAATTTTGTTGAGGGTCTGCCGCCGCAAGGGTGCCACATGCTATTCTGCTGGGGCCGAGGGGAAGGAGGGGATGGGGAGACGGCCCAAGAACTCGTCAATGCCCTCCCCAGACTTTCAGAAGCATCCCACATGTCTCGCCTCCCATGTGCGAAGGATAGGAAGGGGGGGGGTGCGGCCGCGGAACTCAGCGAGGTCCTCCCCAGCCTCTTAGAGGCATCCCAAGCTGCTCGCCATGCTCTGGAGATCGATGGGTTCGCTCCAGATGGCCTACACACAGCCGAAGAAGGCACAACGCGGACCACGATGCACTCCTCGCTGGCCGTTGTAAGGCCTCGAATATTTAAAGCTCAGGCCCGCGGAGTGCCCGTCGAAGGAACAACTCGTTCAAGTACCATGTGGACCTGAAGTTGGTTCCACGATGCACTTCCAGGTGTCCTGAAAGGTCCACGATGCTTCCAAGAAGATCTCAGGTAGGAGTCCCTCAGAGTAGCCCACAAGGCCCCAAGAGAACCCAGGAACCTCCTGCTGGCCTCCAAACTGGCTCCAAGACAGCCTGGATAAAACACGTCAAGACGTTCCCGAGGCTTGTAAGAGGCGCTCAGACGCCCCCAGCAATCCTGAATATAGCCTCAATGGTGCCCCAAGATGGCCCAAAGCCCCCCGCTGAAAAAAAACAAACTCGCCTCAAGACAGCCAAGGTCATGTAGACTCGCTCGGGTACCACTCCACTGCCATTGAAGCAAACAGCCTAAGGTACCTACTGGAGATATGCAACTGTTCAAACTGGCCCAGAGACCCCCCCTAAACAAGCCACGAAACAAGCAACTTGGCAACAAGTCGTTCCAACGGCTCTCGGATTATGAGTTTCAACCTACCAGGTGGTCCTACATCAGCTCCAAGATAACTTGGATGATGGGTGCGCGAGGGTTGAACCACTGCAGCTCTTAACCGACCCTGCGAAAGCCATTGGCTTCAGTCCTCTTCCTGAGGTCGACGGAATGGCGCGACCGACCTGCGAAAGACAGAAACGTGTGTTCAGCGAGGTGGCAACGCAGGGCGGTAGTCAACCAAGCGTAAACGTTTGCTCGAACATGCTGGCGTTTACACAGGAATTTTACCGATTTGGCCCCCGACAGCTGACAAAACCACGAGTCGGGAGGAAACATGCCTAGTTGACCTCACTCGCTGACCCTCAATCTTTACTCTCACCATCACTCCGCTCCTCTCCCCCCCGCTCCGCCCCGACCCCCCTTCCACGGATGGAACCACAAAGACCGAGATAGGGGGCCCAACTGGAGCGTTCTCTAGACCTAGCGGTCCACAACCACGTCAGGACGTCGACCCCAATTGGGGAGAAGACACTTGAGCGATTCGAAACGCAGAAAGCAAAATTGCCACACATACCCACATGCACTCTGCGACCGAAATATCGTATGTCGGTGAGACCCATCGAGAAACCATTCGGACCTCGCTGGGCTCACATCAGGGCGACGACACATCCTGAATGTCTCGGCAATCTGCTCATGGTGGTACCGATACTGCTACTCTCTGGACCTCTACCATGGGTGTATTCTGAATAAACTTTCCAGGCGAATCCAGACGTGCTGACGAGGGCCGCCCAGGAGGCCCAACAAGGCGAAAACGAGGCAAAAGTACTGGTATGGGTATCCTTCTCATTCTCTAAGCTCAGAGTCTCCAGAGATGGAAGTCCTATTTATCACATGCCATAAGACCCAGCAGAAACAAACATCCATCGTGGAACGCTCCGCACCCGAGCAGCAAGAGCGCGGCCAAACCCGCTCGAACACGGCGGGTCGCACAAAATCGCGACCCGCGGTCTTCGGCCAATTCCGGCCTCCTGGGGCCATCGCTGGGCCTCGAGACCGGCAAACAACACGCAACACGCATCGTACTAATACGGAGCTCAACACGTAGCCTGAAAACGTAGGTCCGACGCGATACATTCGCCAAAACGTGGTCCAATACGTGGAGCCAACACGCAACGTATTGACACGGACGTCTTGAACACGGGACGTGTTTCGTTTCAAAACGAGCGTGTCGAGGTAACTAAGCCCAGGACGAAACACCGACCCAGGATGAAGGGTCGAGCCTTCAGGGGACGACATCTTTGAAGAAGCAAGACATCGAATACCTTGTGCGAGATACTGGTACACTGACTATCTTGTCTCGACCCCTCAGGGTGAAGAGTTCGCCCCCTTTGGCATGAAAGGGACGGCTCCTGGAAGGAAAATGCAAGCCTGAACTGGACCGAACCGCGAAACCGGATCGCGACGGATTTTTTTTTTAATCCCAAATTCTCGCTGGCTTTGTTTGGTTACCTGTCGGCAAGGTGGTCCGCATCCAAGTGCGGAGCAGTGCAGAGGGCAGAGCCGGATCGCGACGGAAACTGACGGGATTGCCAACGAATCGCCCCAAATCGCATCGAAATGGGATCGCCGCGCCTGGCCCTGGGCTGGCCCCGGCCGAGGCCTCTGGCTCGCACTGCATCGCATCGAATCGGCATCGCGGCCCTCGCCAGCGAATCGAACCGCATAGAATCGGGTCGTAGGCGGTCCTGCAAGGGGTCCCAGTGTTCTTTGTCACCGTTCCCGATGCCCTCGTGGTGCCCTTCGCGGGCACCAGAGCTGCAAGGGCGAAGAGTGGAGTGCTGGCTCTGGGGGGCGCCCCTGGGCCTGGGACCCGTCGGCCAGAGGCCGCCGCGCAAACAGGGCTGGAGCAGAAGGGGTCGGAGGATCGCACCGCATCGCCGATGCATCGGCTCTGGGGCGGCGAAAGCCGGGCCCTGGACCGCGCCGCATCGGCGGCGCCATCCTCATCTGACCCCGATGGGGCGGCCTAGACCTGCGCGCCAACGCCTCCGCCCGCCATCTGGCGGCAGCGTCGTTCCCAGGGATCCGACGTTGCGAAAAACGTGCGGCATCGCGAAAAATCACAACCTTAGACCCAGACGCAATCCTTCTGCTGCATGTTTGGAGCCAGATCGACCTGTCAGAGTCCTGGGGCCCGCAGGTGGGCGACATTGCCAGCTTTGAAAACATACAACGCCCTGATCTGAGGGTTTGGGGGGAGAGGTATCGTTCGAGGGCCCGGGAAGAGTCCAGATGCAGCCATCGTGCTACGACAAAAAAACGCCGAAGAATGAACGACGAGGCCTTTGATGGCCAAGGCGAACATCGGTAATGCGAAAGCTCCTCGACCTAGATCTAACGGCCCCGAAACCGAAGCCCCTCCTGGACCCGAAACGGTCCTCACTCCAACGTCTTGAATGTCAACCCGGGCGACGATCCACGTGCCCGCGCCGCCGCCTTGGCCGCTGACCGAGGCATAGATGATCGCGCGGCGGGCCCAACGGAGGCACTATTACAATCTCCTCGTTGTGCGAATGAGTGGTGGCAATGAAATGGGTCGCACGCACGATGACACAGTGACCTTACGCGGTGGCTTACGCGGGCCGCCAACTCGGCACGCTACACTGGAAACGAGGTCGCTTACGCGCCACCTCTGGCAGGCAACTTACGCGCGAATTTCGGCGCAGCCGAACCCGCTTGTCTGCGTTGCTCAACTGGCCCCCGACCAGCGGCGCTGCAATCATGAGCAGCGGCTTTCTCGGAATTGGCGAAGCTCGCGACTGGGCTGTCGGGAAACTTTGAAATGCAACATGTGCGGCACCTAGTGGCCGCTCTGCTGTCCCACTATGTGGAATAAGTCCAGACTGGTAATCCCGCTAGCGAAGAATTCGTTCCTGTGGCGCTGCAATAGAGACGGCTGGACTTGGCTCAAGAATAGGAAAAAACCTCATGACGCGATGGCGGCTGCACTTCTCAAACCTCACCTAATGGTCTACCACTCTGGCCAGCGGCTACCGTTGGCCGCCTCCTTAAGGGGCGATCTCTTGTCGACGTCGAAAACGGCGTGGTCGATGGTGGCGTCCTGCCAGCGGGACTGGACCCGGGGGGAGGAACGGTTGGAGCATAGGGCGCACACTGAGGCAGCAGGAGCGCCCCAGAATCTTCGGCACGCCGCCGCGCTTGCACGGCCTGGCCCAGTGCATCCCCGGGCTGTGCGGAGCCACCTCCCTCCTCAACTCGCTGATCCGACGTCGTGAACGCCCAGAGCCCTGGACCATCCGAACGACATCTCTCGAGCCCGATCGATCTGTGAGGGCCCCAGGAACCGAAACCGCGCAAACACGCCCGCTATGAAACAAACTGCGCTGTCCAGATCTCAAGGAGGCCTGGAAGAGGCCAGCACGCGTCGCCCCTGAATCGGACAGCTTCGAGCTCTCAACGCCCATGTCTATTTCCTTTCCCAGGCGCCATTCTGGAGAGAGGGATGGATGCGAGGCCACAGGGTACGCAAAGCTCCAGCGACCATCGTGACACGAGTGTCCATCAATCAACTGCTGGTAAGAGCTGTTAGTCTGCGGCGCCGCCTGGAGACCGCGCATTTACATATACATTGGGTCCGTATCACCCGCCTGGGTGACCAGGGCGGCGCTGAAGGACGGGGTGGGTGTTTTTTCTTCTTCTTCCTCCTCCTCCTCCTCCGCCTCCTCTTCCTCCCTTTAAATGTGCCGCCTCCTCCTCAGGGCTTCCTATCTTGGATCCTTTCCGGGAGTGGAAAAAGATACCACGGCCGAGAGCGCTCCTAGATCGAGTTCTCAGTATCTGGATTTAGATGCATACCCAGGGGCTCTTGCTTCTTCGTCGCTTACGTCATCACCGACGCCTGAGTCTTCTCAATCTTCTAACCGCATCCGCGGACAAAGTCACGGAGACGAACACCGAGAGAGTGCACAACCGCATCAGGGAGGTGGCGCTTCTTCCCAATACTACCTATGTTCTCCTTGCTTCGACTCCCGACCTTCTACAGGAGCGAGTGTACCGGAGTTGGGCAAAGATACCACGTCGCGTGCATATTCTCCTACATCTTCTTCTCTTACTTCATCTTCGCTACAGCCTCCGAGCCACCGCCGTGCACAAGGCAATGAGTTCAATCGACCTCTTGTTTCACCCCTCGCTCAACACAAAGGGCCCCGCTGCGATGAGGATCGTAGATGTGAACGCCCTCTGCCCGACCAATATCCGTATTCTTCCTCATCGCCTTTGGGACGCTCGCTGGAAGAGGGCAAAGTTACCAGAACCAGAAGTATCCCAAGAACGAAGTCCACGGGATTTGGTAATCAACCAGACACTGATATTACGGATGTTGACGAACAGCTGCATCAGGACTGCCCTCCCCCTCCCCCTCCCCTTCCCCCTCCCCCTCCCAGCAACGACACGACTGCAATCAAAGTGGCGTCATGGAACGTTCGAGGACTTACTGATACGAAAACTACTGAAATTATATCGCATATGGACAAGCGTGGCATTGGCATTTTAGCTCTACAGGAAACCCGCCGCGCAAAAGCAGAAGTTTACGAGGTCGACGGGTACAAGATTATCCTGTCCGGCGAAGACACAAATGAGCGTACTTGGACAGGCGTTGGATACATCATTTCACCAGCAAGCCGACGAAGAGTCAAAGCATATAAACAAATATCAGGCAGAATGGCTTGGCTAAAGATCAGAACTGGCATGGGGGCGCTGGCCATTATCACCGGATACGCGCCTCACAACCTCAAGCCGCTCCATGAAAGACGCGATTTCTACACAGCGTTGGATTCGACATACCGGTCGTGCAACGCCGCCGCTGGCAAACTCATCATTGGCGACTTCAACGCCAGAGTGGGGAAAGCCGATCCAGGAGAAGACGCTGTTTTGGGAGAGTTTGGATGGGGACGTCGCGCACAGCACGAAGTTGAGCAGCCGAACCGGGATCTGATGATGGAGTTCTGCACGAGTGGTGACCTACAAATTGTGAATACATTTATATCGCAGCCATTGGAAGAAAAAGTCACGTTCATGGAAGCGGGTGCCCTGCCAATGGGGGACATAGCAGAAGACAGCTACAACATTTTGGACTTACTATTATGTGACGCACATTTGCGGCATCAAGTCGTTGCGCTACGAAGTCATCGGGAAGCGGCCCTGGCCACAGACCATTATTTGGTTGTGGCAGACATGGCTATACAATCTTCCATACAGAAACCGCGGGAAACGGGACGGCCGAACAGAAATGGCATGCAAGACCCACGAGTACTGCAGGCATATGTGAACAAGTTTATGGGAACAATTTCATCGTTTCCTGGGCCGCCGGCTGATATTCAAGACATGTGGGAAAGAGGAAAAACAGCAACGCAAACTGCTGCCAGCGCGCTCCCGACGCGCCAGGAGGAGAGCATCAATCCATGGATTACACAACGCACTCTTGATCTAATTCGCCGCCGTACCGAGGCCCGAGTGGCCAACGACATAACCGAGGAGAGAAGATTGATGAAAGCGGTGCGCAACGCGTGCAAGCAAGATAAAACAATTTGGGTTGATGAGCAAATTTCGACAGGCAGCTGGGACGCTCTGAAAAAGCATTGCCGGCCTAAGCCACCACGCCAAGGGAGGCTAAGAAATATGAGTGGGGAGTTAGTGGACAACACACAAAGAGCAGAGACAATGGCTGAGTACCTGGAGAAAGTGCAGTGGAAAGTACGGACAGCAGAGCTTCTAGACGTCTCACCTGGAGATCCATTGCCGGTTTCGGAAGCAAACTTTACGAAAGAGGAGGTTGGCAAAGCAATCAAGCAGCTCAAACGTGGCAAAGCATCTGGTGTCGACGACATCCCAGCAGAGTACTGGAAGGCTATTGCTACAGACCCAGGCGGACTGGAGTGGATTACAGACCTGTGCAACACATGTTTGAACGAGGAGGCCGTGCCGGACGATTGGAAGAAATCGATTATCTCAACGATATATAAAAACAAAGGTGCCGTCGACAACTGCGACAACTACCGCCCTATCAGCCTACTCTGCGTCGCGTACAAGCTCATAGCTAGTCTTATTCTTCGGCGTCTACAAAACGCAGGGGCAGAGGACAAATTATCGCCAGCGCAGTTTGGTTTCCGACGAGAGCGCGGGACATCGGATGCTATACACGCTGTTCGCCGGTATATTGATTTGGCTTACGCAGACAAACAAGGAGGTATTGCATTTGTCGCTTTGGATTGGAAGAAAGCCTTCGACTCGTTGAACGTCGAGGCGCTGCTGGAAGCTTTGCACAAATTTGGAGTCCCTCGGCGCGTCCTTACAATTATTGGCCACATCTACGAGGGCAGAAAATTCAGCGTGGCGGATGGACGACACCGGTCATCAGAACGACAGCAATTATCTGGGATATCACAAGGTTGCCCACTTTCGCCGTTCTTATTCATTATGGTAATGACGATGGTACTGCGGAGCGCCACACACCACGGAGACGCGGAAGTACGACGAGCTGTAGCAGACGGGTCCTTGAGTATATTGTTGTACGCGGATGACACCTTGCTCGCGGGTCGCAATCCACACCATCTACAAAGTCTGTTGGGCGCGATTTCTAAAGCAGGCGCACGAGTTGGCATGGAACTACATTGGGATAAATTTCAACTCATGCTGGTTCGTTGCGACATGTCGCTCTTGACGCCCTCTGGCGAGCAAATCCCAGCAAAAGACACAATGGTCTACCTCGGGGCCACGCTTTCAAACTCTGGCCAGCTGCGCGGGGAGTTGGGAAAGAGGTTAGGAGCCGCATGGGGTGAGTTCTGCAGACACAGCCGCGCCTGGAAGCATGCGGCAATCAGTACTACCAGAAAGCTTCAAGTATTTCAAGCGCTGGTGACTAATAAGGTCATGTATTCGCTGAATTCGGCATGGCTCAACAAAGCTGAACGCAGAAGATTAGACGGTTTCCAAGCGAGGTGCCTACGTCGAATCCTGCACATTCCTCACGCATACATTTCAAGAGTATCTAACGAACAAGTGCTCTTGCAAGCAGGCCAACAGCGCTACACAGTGCAACTTCTGAGGCATCAGCTGTTGTGGTATGGGAAAATATGTAGGGCGACAGACTTTGATTTTCTGCGCCGCCTCACCTTCCAACCCGGAAGCGCGCGGCCAGCTACAGACGCATGTGCCCGAGCACGAGGCCGGCCAAAAAATGCATGGGCGCAGTGCTTGTACAAAGTTGTCGCACCGCATTTTTCTTCGGACGAGGCAATAATGCAGCGCGTATGTGAGCCAGCAGCCTGGCGCAGATTTGTGATTGATGTTGCGTGTCTCCCTCCTCCTCCTCCTCCTCCTCCTCCTCCTCCTCCTCCCCCTTCTCACCCCTTGTCCTCAAGCAGCGCACGGTGTGAATTAAGAGGCAGCCGACGTGCAGCCGCCCCCGCAAAGCGGTGAGCCTTGGCTGGCATGGTCCTCTTTTGCCCACGCGCTCTGGCGTATGGCATTTCGTTCGTTCCTCCTCAGGGCAGCGTCGACAAGCAGAGCGCGGGCAGCAACATCCTAGCAGGCCTCCTCCTCCTCCTCCTCCTCCTCCTCCGCCTCAATCGGGCGGCGGCGCGACATCGCCCCTGCTCTGACTGCCCCTCGCGCCCTCTCGACCGAAGCTTCCCCCGTGCAGCTCGCGGAGATCGTCAATACTCGCCTCGGCTCGGTTCGCCGAGACCGAACTTCACTTCCGACTGCTGTCGTTCCCAACATCGCTTTCGAATTGCCGCTCCAAGACCCGTGGCTCTCGAGCGGCGAAGGTATCCGTGTCCGCGCCCTAGCGGTCTGGAGTCCTGGGCGCGATCCCGCCGATACGCGGTCGCACGGATGCGTTCCGCGCGTGTGTCACGGCCCAGGGCCACGGCCCGAGAGGCCGCGGATGCGGATACGGATGCGGAGATGTTTCGCCCACGAATGGCGACAACGAAACAAAACACAAGGCCAATACCATCCACGACGACAATACAACCGAGAGCCGTGCGAACCGACAACGCAACCGACACCGAAACCAACAGGCCGCAAGCAGCCTCGAAG